GGGCATAACTCGCAAAGTATACATTTGTACAAAATGGAACTTTGCATACAATTACCTCATATTGTGAGCCACTTTGTCTTAGAATNTCGGTTGTTTCCGCTTCTTAGTTCAAAAAAAGGAACAGGTTTTGGAAATTGAAAATTTTCAATTTTTGACCTTGACCTTTGTTGACCTTGACCTTTGTAGGATCAAACGTCATTGGCATTGGCTATCGATTTGTACTTTCATATTTGCTGTCCTATGTCAACTTCCGGTTTTATAGTCGTGTGCAATTTGAAATTTTGATGACGTATATCTCTTGATCTTGACCTTTTTAGACTTTCTCTTTTACAAGATCAAAGGTCATTGACCTTGGCTATCTGCTGATACTTTCATTTGTGAGGTCTGACGTCTACTTCCGGTATTAGAATCTTCTAAAAAATGAAAATTTCTCAACTTTAGACTGTTCTTGCGATTGATCTAATTATCATGGAAGGATGATTTTTTCGGGGTCTTTTGCAATTTGCTACATTTGCAAAGTCCCACTCTGTGCCACGAGTGGCTCTAGTTATTATTTTTATTATTAATACTATCTACTAATTTATTTAATCCTTGTTTAACAGTTTTCTTGGTTTCTTCACTAAATCTTTTTCCAAATTCTTTCATTGTGCCTATCATTTCTCCCACTCCTGAACCTTTGGCTTCCTTTTCCATTATTAAATTGTGTCTATGATCTTCGGCTGCTTTCTTTTCATCGCGGCTTTTTTAGCAGCAGCTTCTGCATCAGCAGCTTTCTTTGCGTTGGTAGCTTTGACTGCGGTAGCTGTACCACCAGCTATTGTACCGGCTGCAATAAGTCCACTAAATATTAAAGGTAGGGAAAATATAAATCCACCTTCTTTTGCGTTCGCGTCAATTCTTTCTAAGTCTATATCGTCTCTGACTTTACAATATTTGTATTTATCAATAAGTTTTTTAGTTATGCTGATTTTTTTACCATTATAAGTTATTGTAGTTTGTGAAGCTGTTTCAACAGCTTCTATTATTTTCTTGACTAAAGTTTCTGGTTTCATTTTTAAAGGTGTATTTTTTACTCAATTCTTATCATTCTTCTATCTGCTATTTTAATTAAATGTTTTGCTTCTTCCAATAATAAACAATAACCTGTTACATCTCCTTGTGTTTTTTCAATATGAATATGTATGTTCACTCCTGTTTTGGAAAGATCTTCTTGGTGAGCTGATAGATCAAAACAGAAGATTGGATGATTAAGTGCAAAATCTACATATTCAAACTGAGGTAGATTTCCGAATAATTCACACATATTTTTATAGTTTCTATACAATTCATTATAATCCTTTGTGGTTGGATTAATTGTTAAAGGTTGGTTAGGATAATTATCGTTTAATCTTACTTGAACTTTATGGATTAAAGGATCTTGAGTTTGGTTCATTGCCACTCTGAAGACATTATTGTTATTCGTTTGAGAATCTGGTAAGTTCTTGAAACCAACTATTAAATATCTTGCTGGTTTAATAGTGTTGGTGATTGGCCATGTGGTGGATTCTCCAGTTAAAGTCATGCTACCTACAGTGTTACGATGAAGAAAAGCTATTTCAATATCTTTAGTTAACGAGTTGAATATTCTCGTTTCTACTTGAATTGATGGTGTTATTACGGGTATAAAAAGTTGGAGATTCGTTATTTCTAATTTTGCATCTGAACCATTCTCTCCAAAGAATATCTTATCGTCGTTGATTGTGGGACTTTGCTTTCAGCAAAGTTTCGTCCACACCTTCCCGAGCTTAGACTGCAGTAGTTGTAGCAACGTTTCAAATTTCATAGACCTTCTATATAGGTGACGATGTGCATAAATATAAATTGGAACATTTTTGCAAAACCGGAAGTGCCACAGTTCAACATGTGCAAAAAGTCGAAAATCGGCTCTAGAAGGCGCATTTTTGCATCGATTTTCTTCGGGTTTTCATTTTTACAATCTACCTGTAATTTCTGACCTGATAGCACTTGAAAAATTATGAAATTCGAAAATTCGTCGCTCACTTTTTTCGATCAAATTTTTCGATTTTTTTGCAACTTTTTTGCTTTTGCATCGATTGATCTGAAATTTTAAATGCAAAGAGACTTCACTAATGTTAATAATATGATAAAGTCAAATTTTGTACGTCATATCCGATTTTCAACAGGAAAGCGACTGAACTTCAAATCTACTTCCGGTTGAATAACTTCCGGTGTAATTTATGTAGGTCAACAAAATTTGGCCGATCTTTGGCAAATAAAATTTTATGGCCGATTTTAAAATAAAATCCAGACCGGAAGTGATACTTTGGCCGCCATATTGAAAAAACACACTTTTGTAAAACTCAAAATGGGGCCTCAGGGTAAAAGTTGATATGCTCAAATTTGATGTGAATGTATTCTGCAATCCATTGCGCAAAAAACATTTGGAGCCGAATTTTGAATTTCGCTTTTGCTTTTTTGCAACTTCCGGTTGAAATTTTTTAAAGCTTTAAACGATCACACCATGTGACCTTGACCTTTGATGACCTTGACCTTCATAGGGTCAAAGGTCATTGACCTTGGCTATCATTTGATACTTTGACCTTTGACCTCCGACATGTACTTCCGGTTTTATAGCTATCCGTAAAAAGCCAAATTCGCAACTTTGGACTGCTCTAGCACGTGACCTACTTAACCTAGAGAGTAAATTTTTTCGGTTTCCTAATGTGCTTCTCATGCCCTTTACATAGATATATAACAATCGTTCTTTTAAAGCAAAATTGAAATTGGTGATTTTTTCAAATCTGAGGGTTTTTTTTACAATATTTACGTCTTTTTGAGCTTGGTGTATGTATATCTTATGATCTATTTGATGTAGAACCTTGATATTTGGAATACAACTAGACACTTTGAATATAAATTCACCTATGACAAAAAAACTTATGTGGGCGTGGCACATCCGGGTTGAATTACTAATTGTTTACATTGTGGGGCTGGGGCATAATTCGCATAGGATGCGTTTGTTCAAAAAGAGACTTTGCACACAATTACCTCATCCTTTTGGCCAGTTTGTGTTAACAGCTCAGTTGTTCCAGCTTTATAGTTTCAAAAAGGAACGGGTTTTAACATTTGGATATTTTCATTTTTCGATTTTGACCTTTGTTGACTTTTGTTGACCTATATCTTTTGACCTCTATTATGTAGGAACTTGACATTTGGAATATAACGTAACATTTTGAATATTAATTAACCTATTCAAAAAAAATTGAGGTGGGCGTGGCACTTCCGGGTTAAATTTCTCATTATTGACATTTTTGGCCAGGGGCATAACTCGCAAAGTATACATTTATTCAAAATGGAACTTTGCACACTATTACCTCAAATTTTGAGCTACTTTGTCTTAGAATTTCAATTGTTTTTGCTTCATAGTTCAAAAAAAGGAACAGGTTTTGGAAATTCAAAATTTTCAATTTTTGTCCTTGACCTTTGTTGACCTTGACCTTTGTAGGATCAAACGTCATTGGCATTGGCTATCTATTTATACTTTTATATTTGCTGTCCTATGTCAACTTCCGGTTTTATAGTTGTTAGCAATTTGAAATTTTAATGGCGCTATCTTGATCTTGACCTTTTTAGACCGTCTCCTTTACAGGATCAAAGGTCATTGACCTTGGCTATCTGCTGATACTTTCATTTGTGACGTCTGACGTCCACTTCCGGTAATAGAATCTTCTAAAAAATGAAAATTTATCAACTTTACACTGTTCTTGCGCTTGATCTAATTATCGTCGAAGGTTGGTTTTTTCAGGGTCTTTTGCATTTTGCAACATTTGCAAAGTCCCACTCTGTGCCACGAGTGGCTCTAGTTTCTCTTTGAATTTGAATTTTATATGGTAAGCCTATGGAAACTTTTCTATGTTCCAACAGACCGAATAAAGGATATAATTTCCAATTTACGTAATTACCCCACCTGTTATTCTCAACAACATTATTATACTGAAGTACTCGTTTTTCGAATACATGATTAACTGCTCGTCCTACTCTTTCTATCGTGTTTCGAGCAACAACTCTCACTCTAGCTAAATCGGCATCATTTGCAAGATTTCTTACCGGTTCCTTTAAAATACTTCCATAGCCAACATCGGGTATCCAGCCTGAAACTGAATCGAAATCTTTAGGATATAAAACTGTTTTCAACATTGTGTCGAATTCCCCAGGATTTTTGATTGTTTCTATCGGATTTGAACCAGCTTCCAAAACCATCTCGCTAAATAAAGATGGAAAGAAATTGTTTTCTAACGTTGTATTTGTTTGTGGAACTTGATTCTGAGTGGCGTCTTTAATTTTGAAATCGCATCTGAAATAAGCATCGGAAAGAAGCAACCAATTCGATAATGAATTTATTTCGAAGGTAATTCTACCACCATCATTCAATTGGGATTTAGAACCAACAGTGGGTGAGATGATAATATAATTCTCTTTTTTCTTGTTAAATGAATAACGAATTGGATCGTATAATCTAAAGATTTGATCTAGTATTTTATTTGCCATTTTTAAGGTTTAAAATTTGAGTAGAAAATTTTAATATGCTTTTTTTGATGGAATGTAGGAAATTGATTGAAGGTTTTTTTTGGTGTATGAAATGTATGGTCTTTTGCTGTAAGAATTTATGAAATGTAGGGACTTTATGAAATATAGGGAATTTAGGTCTTGTTTTTTTGGGAGTTCATAGATTGTTTGGATTTTTCCCATGAAATGAAATGGAATGTGGAAAAATCCGAACAATCTATGAGCTCTTATACTACTTATAATGACTTTGATTTCGACAAGAGCATCATCATCAGCATAGCCATACAGATTAAACATGTTTATTTTCCCTATAGTAGGTCAATGGAATAGAAGTTCCAGATCAGGAAAGAAAATATAACTTACCTTTCTTCTGGTAATTTCTTATTGGCTACAAAATAAAATAATATAAAATTAGATTAAGTTTAAATTTAAAGCATTATAAGTATAAATAATTGTTATATCAACTGACAAGACTCAATTTCATCTAATGACTTTCCAGAATTTCAATAAGTATTGACATTGACAGTGTAATGTTACTAATAAAGCTCTGATATCTGTAATAATTGCACGTGAGATTGTAAATGGTTGTCAGAGTCATGTTATGACAAAATAATATTCAATAGAACATGTCATATTGTTCTGTTTTAAAGTTCCCCCAAATATTTATAATAAGTACAGTATAACCAATACCTGGATAATATTTTCTATATATAAATATTGTCAGTAAAACTAGAAATACAATAACAACAGTTATTCCAATACCAATTCCAATACCAATTCCAATACCTGTGCTTAAACCTTTCTGATATCCAGATGGTTCAACAGAAACTGGTTTTACTCCAGGATCTGTGGAATAAATAAATTTGACTTACCGGTATGTTAAGTTATCAAATAATTCAGCTGACATATTTACCAATTACATTCAACTGATAAATTAGCTAATATTCCAAAAGTATTCAAAAACCAGGATAAATTCGACATAGAAATCCATTTCATGCAATCAAAATTGAATTCGACTATGATTTATGAACTTACCACCATCAATAATCTTTATAGTGTAACTTTTATCATCACCTATACCATTATTAACAGTAACAGTGTAATTACCAAATGATGATTGTTGTATTGTGAATGTTAAACTTGAAATATAATTATTGGTAGCTACTTGTTGAGTTGTATCTGGTGTTAATTCTTCTCCTGTTGATTCTTGTATCCATTTAAAACTAGGTTTAGGATAGGCTATAACATCAATAAGTAATGTTACTTCTTCACCTAGTCTATTCATTACCTCATCTTTTAAATCACCATTAATTCTTGCTGAACCTAAAACAAATTCTTTGTTATCTGATATTTAATAGTAAAAGTTGACTGACCATTACCATTATTACCATGTACGTGTAACTGAGTAACCCAACTATCCCCTTAAATTCACCGGCAACACTATTTGCGTGGTTTTCGTTATGATTATTATTTTTTTTATTTTTTTTTTTTTTGGGAACTTTCCGTAGACAAAATCGAAAATGGTATAGCATAATTGTTTTCACCAAACATTTTTTAATGTCCTGGAATCAAAAATGAATGTCTAAAACTAAATTTTTGCTAATCCGGAAGTGTGCCATTGCATAATGTGCAAATATTTTGCATCAAGTCTGTAGGGCTTATTTATGAACCGATTTACCTGAAATTTTCTTTAATATGTTCATTGTTATAAGACGTATCCGATTGATCTGAAATTCACAGGACATATACAGAATGTCTATACAAATAAATTTATACAATCAAAATTTTTCTATCACTTCCGGTTTTTGCGTGAGAACTTCCGGTTTTTTTAAATCACGCCTTGCACCCCCACTTCCGGTGTAAATTTCAGATGTTGGCAAAACCATATATATTGTCTGTCAGTCATAATTAGAATGCACTTAGCAGAAAAAATCCAAACCGAAAGTGATGCATAAGCCGTCGCCTCGGACTGACTCATTTTAGCAAAAAATTAATTAGTCCTTCATTTTTTATCCGATTTTTATGATTTTGGTGTCTATTAAAACCTTGTAACCTTGTCTACAGTTTGTTGGAACAGAATTTTGAATTTCGAATTGGGTTTTTTTTTATATTCGTTTGAATTTTTTGAAAATTCAAAAGTCCACACCATGTGATTTTGACCTTCGATGACCTTGAAAATTTCACTGTAGGATGTTCTTGACCTCAGCTATCCACAGGTGTACTCATATTGGTTGAAAAATATTAACTTCCGGTTTAATAGCCATTCAAAAATTAACATTTTTGACAACTTTGGACGGCTGTATGACCTTTTCTAATAAACACAGAAAATTATTTTTTTCAATTTTGTAATTCCCTTTTGATTATCTTTTCAATGATATATGATCCATTAAAATATGATTTAAAAATATTGGGGTTTTTTCGACTGAGGGTTCTAACTTACAATGTAATTAACTCCTAGCAATATGGTTTGTATATTCAGGATCTACTCAATTTTCTCTTTTCAACGATATGTGACATGGGTGGTTTAATACAAAATTGAATTTGTGAAAATAGGCATAAAAGTGTTAAATGTTTATAAAAAATGTGATAAAAATCTGTAGATTGTGGGGATTAAAATGATTGACAGGTGTTATAACAGGTTATATAATATGATAGGAAAGCTATCCATATGAACTTTTGACATGCAGGTGTGAAGTAGTTTGGGTCATAAATAGGGTGGGTTTTAAAAGCCAACCGCCTACCGCTGCCAACCGGCATACCGGAATGAAAAAAGGGCGCTAAAATGAGCATTGTTAAATTTAAGGATCGTAGATTTTCATACTACAAAACGAAACTATTCAATTTGACGAAATTTTTGTTGACGTCAATATTATGGAATCAAAATTATTTTAAAAATGAAACGAAACAAATTAATATTTCTTTTTTTAGCTTTGAGATATTTTCCTTCACATTTTCTGATTCAATTCGTGTTTAAAATAGCAATAATCTCTTTTAAAAATAAAATGGCAGTAAAAAGTTAAGGGAAGTAACTCTGAAACAAACGACCTTGTTCAGTCGTTG